ATTGAGCAACTTTTCAGAATTAAAGTATAACTCCTTCTGGCCTATATATCTTTCCTAACATGATCTTTTAGCCCAAAGGCCTGAATTCTCCTCTCAACTTAGAGAAATAACTTTTGATTATAAGGTCCCTGGGAGTGCTTCTCTATGCATAGTCTCAAAAGAGAAAAAAAAACACCCACAACCCCTTCAAAAAATAACAAGAGTTTTATGTCTATCTGTATTCGTTAGTTCATTCTCTCATCTGTTATGGTTAATCTGTTGGGGCAGTAGCATGTTATACTAGTATGTAGTAATGAAGGTTTTTATATGTATCAGCATAAATTTAAAGAAGTAATAATCCTCCTATAGGTACTGAGGGGCTCTGCCCCATTTTTTAGTGAACTGTGCTCATTTCTCAGTAATCTGATTTTGATTTCCTATTTTCATTAGGAAAAAAAGACAGTGCAGATGATGTTTAAGCAAGCTAAATTTAACATGGGCTATATAGACGAGGTGCACAGCCAGGTCCTGGAGCTGCCCTATGTGGGGGAGGAGCTGAGCATGGCCATTCTGCTGCCTGATGTCAACACCGATCTCACCGTGGTAAGTGAGCCCCTGGCAACGAGTCTGAGTGTCTCTGCATCCAGCCTGAGCTCTGTGAGTCCATCCATGAGGTAACATTTGAGGAATTTCCAGTTTAGGGTTATTATAAAGAGTATTGGATGAACACCACTGCATGTCGTTGGTGAGCATGGGTATGCGTTTCTGTTGAGTGTGTATCTAAAAGTGGAATCTCAGGCAAGGAGGCATTTTGATAAAGCTAAGAAGAGAGAGTGCCAAGAACATAAGAACATTATTCTTTATTCTGAAGAGAGAGGCTCGTTGAGGGTCCAATAATTATTGAACATACTGGAAAAAAGTAAGGATTGATCTGGGCAATGTGTCTTAAACATTAGCATGCATGCGAGTCTCCTGGGGATTTTGTTAAAATGCAGATTTTGATTCAGGGGACAATGGCTAAAGATTTTGGATTTCTAACAAGATTCCAGGTGATACGGGTGCTGTTGGTCATGGGCACACTTTGAGTAGCCAGGGTCTAAAGTATAGGTGAGGAATTTATCTTAGACAGGAGGAGAGAGACCTCTTCCCACGACAGAAAAGGGATGGAGTTCAGGATGGAAGAGGGTAAAATTGTAAGGTGGGAGGTGCAGGACCATAGCGTGTTGGTTGTCTGCCCCCTGGGGGGCTGGGGAAGCCCCCATTTGTAACATTTGCTGATTCCATGGTGTAAATATATTGATCATGGCTGCGTTTAGGCTCCCAAGGGTTTAACAATTGACTCTCGCCAGAGATACAAGCCACCTCCATCCAGCACACCAACACACAGGATGTTGAGGGTGGGGTCTGCTTGATTTCCCTGGCTTCTCTAGGGAACCAGGAAGCTGTTGGCATAAGTCAAGGATGAGGTCTGTCATGGCTACTTAAGGAGAAAATCAGGAGAGTCTAGGAATAGAGCTAATGTCCCAACAGCTGTCACTGGGGAGGAGCACTCACCTGGGCTCCAGGTGGTGAAAGGAAGGTGGGAGATCCAAGTGGAGGCCCCCTCTCGCTCCTTTCTTTTTTCCTTGTGGATAAATAGAATGAGTGATGGGTCTTGGACATTGTGAAGCTAACTCCAGGGCAGGCAGAGGGCAAACAAGGATGCCAGAGGAACAGTCCTGTTGAGTCCCCCATTTCTGCTCTCCCCAGAAGCTACGTCTCCCCTCCTGTTCAGATGATCCCGGATTCCTCCCTCTTTCCCAGAGCAGAGTCCTGAGCCATGGTCTGTCTTTTTTTGGCAAACAATCTCTCCAACTCCCAGCAGTGTGTGTATCGCACAAATAGAATCAATTGGTTCTGAGAATTTTTTAAACTAAAAAAACATTTGAAATGAATTTGGTACAGATGGTTAAAAACAAAACAAAATCAAACAAAAAAAACTTCTCTTTGTCTCAGGTATTTTCTAGCTGTTTTACTCTCGTATCCATAAAACAGTGAAAAAGACAAGAATTGAGGGGAAATCTTTGTGTGTTTACAAGAGGGAAAGATCTCTGTGAATTGTCTTGGAGTAGAGCTCACCACCCAGTTGCATGTCACGGGAGGGAGGTGGGTACCAGGCCATTGTCATTTAGATTGGAAGATTTGACCCTTTGTTATTTCAGGTGGAAAAAGCACTTACATACGAGAAGTTCAGAGCCTGGACGGCTCCAGAAAAGATGACTGTGGAAAAAGTTCAAGTTTTCCTTCCCCGATTAAAGCTGGAGGAGAGTTATGACCTGAAGTCTTTTCTTCGAAGTTTAGGAATGACTGATGCATTTGACGAATCCAAGGCAGACTTTTCTGGAATGTCAGCTGAGAAGAACGTGCCTGTGTCCAAGGTCGCACACAAGTGCTTTGTAGAGGTCAATGAGGAAGGCACAGAGGCGGCCGCGGCCACCGCCGTGGTCAGGAATTCCCGGTGCAGCAGGATAGAGCCAAGATTTTGTGCAGACCACCCATTCCTCTTCTTCATCAGGCACCACAAAACCAACAGCATTTTGTTCTGCGGCAGGTTCTCTTCCCCGTAAAGAGGTGCTGTCTGTACAGGTACTCCTTTCTCTTCTGCCCTCGCCTTAATTCAAATTCTATGTGACCAAATTGGTGTGGTTTGAGTGGCACAATCAAGTGTGTGCACCTGGGACGTCTGCACTAGTCCTGCCTGAATATTCCACAGCCACTGAGAGTAACTCAGGCTTCGGATGTGTAGAGTTTGGGGCTGTGCTTGTTCTGGAATGTCTGGAGGCGCCTCCCTCTCGTGGACTCTGCCCTCACCTACCTATCAGAGGATGGCCAGCTCTCCTCAAAGCCTGTGCCCATTGTTGGTGGGCGTCTTTAGGAGCATGTCAAAGATTCATGAATCAGCTTTCCATCCTGCCATGATCTCAAAGCTGTGCCCAGCACCCCTGCCAGGCTCACCAGGAGATGCCAGTGCCCAGGCCCCATTGCACACAAAGCCAGGGTGGACACTCCAGGGTGAACACTGCAGCCACTAGTGCCTCTCCCCTGTCAGTACCACACAGACAGCCCTCCACGTTCCATGTGTCACAGAGGCCCTTATGAAAACAACTCCTTCAGATCTTGTCGTTAACCTCAGGGATGAGTTCAGGGGCTCAGTGCCGGGCAGGCTTCAGGGCTGAGCGCTGCAGAGCCAAATCTCTGACACATGCCAGGTAGTCCTGCCCATTCTCTTTGCTCCTGAAACATACACACGCCCCAAAGGAACCCACACCAAGCACCTCTCGAGAGCAATAACCTCTCCAGTTCATCATATATGCTCAAACATGGCTCAAGTGCCCTCCTGCTTAAAAGCGGATCCTCCTACATTAACTTTTTCTGATTGGAAAAAAATTTGTGTGATGGCAACACTTTGGAAACTATAGGAAAATATACAAAGAAAATTTAAGTCACCCACAGTTCCACTACCCAGCAATCATTACTGTTAACGATGATGTATAGCTTCCTTATTCTATATATGCAAATAGAAGTTAGAAACATTTTAACCCAAGTTAATCATATACTTCTGTAGCTGATTTCTGCCTTTACTATAAACCTTCTTCAAGATAAGTATCTTCCTATGTTATCAATTTGATGTGTCAAATTGTATGACTGTATTTTCTATAATCAAATCTGATTTGGGTAATTAAAATGACATATATTATTCTGTTATGAATATCCTACATATTTCTAAACATTCTTAATATTTTTAAAGAAATATTCCTAAAAATGATGTAGTCAAGGTGAAAGTTGGGCACATTTGGAGATGTCTCCCAAATTAGTCTCCAAGGCATTTTATACTCCCACTCACATCACTCTTTCTAGTCCATTAACTGCTGCTGAACTTTTTTATTATGAGTTAGACTGAAAAGTGATTATTCCTGACTCAATGTTCGATTCACAATTCACAGCTACATGAACCATTGATATTATAGCTCTTACAATTCACCAAACTAGAACAGGTTCCCTGTTGGGCCACATTTATATCAGGCTTTCCAAAACAGGTTTGGCCAAACATTAATCATGCACTAGCATGCACGCATCTGTGAACCTTCATCACACTCCCACCTTTAATTACAAAACAAATCTACACTGTTCGTTGGGTATAATTTACACAGAAAACCTTCACATATTTAACAATTTGATAAGTTTGATACATGTATGCCCCCGGGGAAGCCATCCCCATAATCAAGATGATGGACGTATCTGTCACACCCCAAAATGTCCGCTGTAGCTTTGTAACCCTTCCTTCTTGTCCCTCCCTTTCCCACCTCAACCACTTAGCCTTAATTCTCCTGCACCCACGGCTCTGCTTTCTGTCACTATAGCTTAATTTGCATTTTCTACAAGTCTATGTAAACAGAATAAAACATCATATACTCTTTTTGGGATGGCTGTATCACTCAGTGTTTTTGAGGTTCGTCCATGTGCATATTAATAGTTTGTTCCTTTGTATTGCTAAGTAATATTTCATTACATGGCTATACCACCATTTGTTTATCCATTCGCTTTTTGACAGACATTTAAGTTGTCAAATTTTTTTGTTGTCAAAAATTTTACACTAAGATTTTGTGTATTGTGAATAAAGTTTTAATGTGCATGTCTGTGAATAGACATATGCTATTATTTCTTTGGGGTGATCTGGGCCATATGGAAAGTGGAAAAGAATTTGGCCATTTCTTTAAAAATTAGACATTTGCCTTCCCTGAAGCCCAAAGTGGTTGAACTATTTAACATTCCCACTCGAGCCTATGAGAGTTCCAGTTGCTCTATATCCTCACCAACACTTGGAACTGTCAATGCTATTATTTTAGGTGTGTACTGGTATGTCACTGTGGTTTTAGTTTGCATTTCCCTGAGCGCTAATTATGTCCAGCATTTTTTTCATGTCCTCATTTGCCAGCCATGCATGTTTTTTGGTGAAATGTCTTTTAAATATTTCACCTATGTGCATTTTTTTGCTTTTTTTTGTTTTATATTTCTTATTCTATTTTGAGCAATTTTCTATTATGGACAGCAAATCTTTAATAGATGTGTGATTTATAAACATTTTTATTCTAGCTTATGGCTTGAATTGCCATTTTGATAACAATGCCTTTCAAAGAGCAGGAGTTATTGATTTTGATGAATTCTATTTTATCATAGTTTTGTTTAGGTATCATGCTTTTGTTGTTATAGCTAAGAGCTCTTTGCCTAACCCATGACAACCAGGATTATCTCCTATGTTCTTCCTATAAGTATTATAATAGGAGATTTTACATATAGGTCTATGATCCATTTTAAGTGCCTGTTTTTGATATGTTGAAAGAATATCCTTCCTCCACTGAATTGCTTTTGCACCATTTTCAAAAATCAATTGATCTTATATGTGTGTGGATCTATTTCTGGACTCTGTTGGTTTCCATCGTTGTCTATTGTGATGCAATTACTACAGTGTCTTGATTACTATAGCTTAGTAATAAGTTTTGAAATCAGATAATGTAAGTCTTCCAATTTTATTCTTATTTTTTCAAAGTTGTTTTGGCTATTGTCCGTCTTGCATTTCCTGCCAACTTTTAGAAGTAGTTTGTCTACTGCTAGAATTTTGATTAAGATTATGTTGAATCTAAACATCATTTTGGAAAGAATAGATATCTTAACAATATTAAATCTTTCAGCTCATGAACAAGGCATTTTTATCCATTTGAAAAATTTATCTCAGTATCATTTTACTGTTTTCAGGATACAGGCCTTACACAACTTTTGTCAGCTTTATCCTTAAGTATACTATTTGAATACTATTATGAAGAGTATTGCTTTTTAATTTTGACCTTTGATTTTTTTGCTGGTAGTATGTAGAAATATAATTGTTTTTTGTGTTTCAATCTTATATCCTGCAAACTTGCTAAACTCACGTAGCGTCTTTGTAGATCCCATTAGATTTCCTATATAGTCTCTCTTCTTTTTTCCTTCCTAGATATTTTTCTTCCATTCCTCCCCAGATACAATTCTTGTTTAGTATTTTAGTATGCATTTTTGTTTATAAGTATTCTTTAAAAATGTTACATTAATTGTAACCAAGTATTTTAAATGTACATAAATGATATCATGTTTTGTATCTCCTGTTGTTTTCTTGCTTTTTAAAATAATTGATTTTATTGTATTTATATGATTAGAAGACCCAGCCGTGCTGTTATGTACTTGTTCATTAATTCTAACAGCTATATGGTATACATCCACTACATTTCTCCTTTTCCTTTCCAAGTGATGGGCACCCAGATTGCCTGAAATTCTTCACCACTACTCACGACACTGTATTGAATAATAAATGCCCCTTCCTGTATAATAAATTTTTCATTATATGTTCCCAGGAGCAGACTTGCTAGGACAATTTTTTTAAAGGTATTCATCCTTTGCAAATTTTGGATATGAAAATATTGTCTTTCAATCTGTCATCTTTCTAATCATTTTGTCTGTAATTCCATCCAGTGACAGAAGTTGTTAATTTTTATGTAATTCAGTGAATCTTCTTTTTAAATCTCATTGGTGCGATGTTTTGCATGAGAATTTTTTCTTCCCAGGCCAGAAATATTTTATACATTTTCTTCTACTGACTTTAAAGCTTTACCTTGCACTTTTAGATAATCTGATTTGTGTCTATCTGGTGTTACGTAAAGTTACAATTTTAGTTTTCTTCATATGGGGAGCCAATTTTTATGGATAGATCTGTCTTCCCTGGTCCTTTTGATTTGCAGTAACATGATCATATATTTCTGTTCCCACATATACTGTTCTCCCCATAATACCCTTTCTATTTATCTGTCTTCAACCAAGCTGCACTGTTTTTATTATTAGAGCTTAATAGTGGGTCTTAGTTATTTACTAGAGTTATTTATCTCAGGTATAGAGAAATACTATCAACTTTCATAGTTTAGTCACGGATGTCTTTGGCTTCCTTATATATTTCCAATATTGTCCTTTCCTTCTGCCATCTGGGAGTTCCTCAACCTAATAGCTCAATCAAATCTAATTTCTTCTTTACTATATTGTTATTATTATAAGCCTCTTTTATTTTGTTTTTGTTTCAACCATTGTATTTTTTTTATATATTTCTAATTGTTTATTTTTATCTAATATCTTCTTTTATTTTCTTATTTAAAATGTCGGTTGCAACAATTCTGCTTCAAATGTTTATGTTGGTCAATTTCTTTTATAGTGCTTTTCCTCCTCAGATATCTAGTTTTTGGCATGTGGGTTCAAGTTGACTTAGGGTTGGTGACCCTTTGTAGGAGTGTTTGGGGTGCTGATATGGGGTGAGTAAATTTTCAAAGTCAGAACGTTTTATTTGATAACAGCCCTACCTGGTTTGCTGACTTACATTTTCTGTCTGTCCATCAGGAAAATCTTATGGTCAGGGTTGAAGCAGTAAAGCTCGATGGGTACTCAATTCACACCTGTTTTCTTCAACTCTTCACCCCTGCCAGGCTTTTTTAATGCACTAATAGAACCTCAAGGACACTAGCACAGATGGCCTAGGCTACTGATTTAGGTTTTGTCTTGAAGGATCAGGCTACCAGGAGCCAAGGCAAGAACAAAAGCTGAGACATTTGGTCCAGCGCATCTTCTCTACGTAGGCTGCGTGTGTCTCTCTTTCTAAATCACAGCCATGCACTGCCTGGCACACTAGTCCTGGCAACATTCTGTCTTCCCATCGTGGTGGTGTCTTAGTTGTCTTGTTACTTGGTGACTCTTATTTTGTTATTATTGTTTGTTTGATAGATTAGTTCTCAGAATCCTTGTTTCCTTCCTGCCTTTAATTTCCCTAGAGCTCAGTTTTAGGAAGAGAGTCAAACTCCTGCTTTGTGCCATCTTTGCAGGAAATGGAATCATTTTTTTAATGATGGTTTTGCTAACATGTCAAAGCAAAAAAAAAAAAAATAAGTAAGTAAAAACCCTAGACTATTTTACCATATACTCATAGATGATTAACAAATTTCAATTCACTCTTTTAAAAATAGAAATTATACTTTATAGTCTCTAGATATAAAAAAAATATAAATACCAAATTTTGGCAAAGATCAGTAGTAATTCTCATATAAGGCTGGAAGGAGCAGAAAGTGGTAAAACCACTTAGAGAGGAATCTGGTGTTACTTAGTAAAGTTAAGCATTTATACATACTATAACCAGATATTCTACTCTTGGCTAGGAAGCTTAGAGAAACTGTGTGTTCAAGAGACAGGCAAAATAATGTTCGTAGCAATGTTGCTCATCATAGCAAGAAAAGATATAAAAAATAAACTAGGAAAAACACTGAATTATTAACATGAATAAATCATGTATTCATGCAATGGAATCAGGGTCATCACCTCGCTCAGCTGTGGGGCACCCTTCACATCGTTGGCACATTTCATAAAGGACCTATGTTACTGGTGTCTTCTGGAGGTTTTACAAATTTATGTGGAATACCATGTAGTAGGGAAAATGAATTAATCATAGCTACCAGCATAAAACATAATACTGACCAAAAATAACAAGTGTCAGTTGCATTTGTATAAAGCTAAACAATAAGCAAAATGACTATTGTGCTGCTTCAAAATACATATGTATAGTAAAGCTATAGAGGGAAAAAACTAAAGGAATTATTAATACCAAATATAGAATAACATTAAGTTCAGGGCATGGAAAGAATGTTATCCGTTAGCTCAGCAGGGAGCTCTAAAGTTACTCATGATACTCTGTTTTTGTAAGCTGGGTAGTGGATATTAGATATTTATTCAATTTATTATTAACCTTTAAATATACATATATGTAAATCCATGCATTGTATGCATGATATATTTCACAATGAAAAGAAATTTAACTAAAGAAGGGAGAAATTGGGCCAGCCAAGTGGCTCAGTTGGCTAAGAGCTTGCTCAAGACTGCAAGCTCTAAGCAACAGAGTTGCCGGTTCAATTCCCACATGGGCCAATGATGCTGTGCCTGAGCTGAGCTGCTGCTGAACTGCCAACAGGTGGCAGGATGGCAGAGCTGGTGAGAGCACGTGCTCCTAACAACAAGACTGCCTGTTCGAGATGGTGGGCTATGCCCACCCACAACTAAGACTGAACTTGGCACCTTAAGCTGAGCAGCCTTCCGGGTGGCTCAGGGGTAGAGTGCTTGCTCTTCACAACAAGGCTGCCAGTTTGACTCCTGCATGGGATGGTGGCTACTCCCATCCACAACTAATTGAACACAGCACCTTGAGCTGAATGGCACAACTGGACTTGGAGCTGAACTTGCTACGAACCTCCACAACTAGGACTGAAAGACAACTTGGCTATTCCCTTCCCCAATTCCCCAACACTGTTCCCCTCCCCCCAATTCCCCAATTTAAAAAAAATAGGGAGAAATCATGGTATAATATGATGTGGTGAGAACAATTACCTAAGAGAGATAAGATTAAATATTATAAACAATCAAACTCAATATAACTTCCCTATTAAAAGACAAAATCTTTTAGGATAGAAATGGAAAACAGTATTTTGCCAAATGTGAATTTCAATTAGCATACCTCAAACAGAATGACATAAAATATGAATATGAAATAATAAACAGAGATATATCAGATAAACTTAAAAGCATAGCAAAAGCCA